TATCTTGCTTGAATGTCTGCACTAAAAGTCACTCTTGTCAAACTTGTCATTTTCAACTGACAAGTTTGACTAGACTTTGACACAATACTATTGGGCAAGCACCAACTGGTACACCAACAAAAAATGATTGTAAAAAATATTTTTACTTTAAAAATATAATTTCCAAGCTCAAACGAAAATTAAAAATCTTGCTTGTTGACAAATCGAGTGACCATGTCGAGCGTCACTCTGGGCTGGTCATAGGGCACCATGTGGCCGGCCTTGCGAATGAGCGCATAGTAGAGATTGCCGGCGCTGCGAACGTAGCCCGCAACGGCGGCATCACTCGGCGCCACCTTGTAGATCTTCCTCGGCGAGTGGTTAAAAGTGCCGGCCCGTCGCCAGCTGAGCTTCCGCAGAAAGTTCTCCGTCAGCGGCGCGGCGACAATGACGTCCAGCTGTCCGCTGTAAAAGAGAGAGCGAATCTCCGAGTTGAGAATCTCCTCGACCCAGGGCTTTACTGTGTCCATAATGTCTTTGATCAGGTGCTTCTCCACGATAGAGCCGTCATTGTAGGGCATTTTGCCGACGTGAATCGCTTGGCGAACTGCCTTCTCCGCCAGGTAGTTGTTGTAGTAGCCCGTCTCCACCGGTTCATTGTCAAAAAGAATGTTAAAGTAGTTGCTCATTCCGGTGACGTTGCGGTAGTAGGAGGTGCCGCCGGGCGTCAGGTCACCGTTGAGCAGGGCGTCAAAAACGCGAAAGGCCTCCTCAAACTTGCGCTCGTCAATGAAAATCTGCAGTTTGATCTGCTCCCGGTAAAAGTGGTCTCGCTGAAGTTCATCGAGCAGGCCAACTTGGTAGAGGTAGTCGCCGTAATCGTGCTAAAAAATTAGATTAGAAATGTTTTGATGTTATACGGCAAAACTAGTACCATGTTTTTAGGGTCGCACAGTCCATCGCCAATTGTCATTCCCTGCAAATTGATGCCCACATTGGTAGCGTTCTCTCCTTCTTTGTGAATTTTGTACGTTATGGCTGGAACGTACTTGCCTGTAGGGACAAAAAAAGTTGAGACAAAACTCCAACAATAGATGAAGCCACTGTAGGCTTAAATAAACCTACCTCCGTACGATTCACCGGCCACGTAGAATGGATTCCCGCGGTAGTCTTCGTAGAGCGTAAAGAACTGCCTCAGCGCCTCGTACATGTCCCGGGCGACATCAACTTCGTTCTTCGCGTACCCTTCATCGCTGTCAGTAAAGGAAAAACCAGTGCCTACGGGCTGGTCAAAGTAAAGCATGGCAAAGTCTCGGTTCCATGTGTGGTTTCGCTCCAGCACCTTCAAGTCCTCGGTCACCTGCAGTGGACCGTTTTCGACAAAGAGGCCGTAGAGGGAACTGGCGCCTGGGCCGCCTTGCAGCCACAAAATCACCGGAGTGTTCTTGTCAACCTTTCCAGACTGTAAGCAAAGTTAGTTAAGAATCAACAACAAACAGTTTTATCTTACCAGAGGAGGGAAAAACCAGAAAAAGATATTTGAGTTGAACTGCTTATTCACCGTGAGGTATCCGGAAAAGCTTTTGGTGCTCTTGGGCACACCGCCGGGAAGGTTGGTCACCTCGCTGAGCTTCCGTCCCTCGGCCAATTTGCCCGCTTCGATGTACGGCGTGAGAAAGAGCACATCAGAGTCATCTTCCGCTGTAAATTGCTGCTCAATGAGAGCGTTTGCTACCTCAGTGTGAGGATTGTACAGTTTTCGCAGAAAGGCAGAACTTTGCCCAATCAAGACGCAAAGCACCGCCAAGGAGCCAATCGAAACTGCCAACTTTTTGCCCATTTTGGCGATTTATGGTAAACTGGTGAGCAACTAAAAATCCAGTAATATATATTCGTAAAAAGGAGCACTTTTAAGTAAAGTGGATACTGTTGCCAATCACCTGTTTTTATCATCTTTGGCATCCGCATCTAAAAGACACCGTAACATCTGTATTTTACGACTTTCAATCAATCGATTAAACCGTTGCTATCAATTCAAGTGGATACTGTGTGTGACTGTGTGAACGGTAGCTGGGCACAGGTTATTGCAACGGTGCAGCTGTGTGTGACTAGAAAAAGCTCATGTTCAAGCTGCTGCTCAAGTTGATGTACATTGTGTGTCAAAGCACCGTGTTATCATTTATTACTTTTTGTTAATTTTAAAAGAGGACAACTTGAGTACATTTAAACTTTAAAACTCCTTCTTGTGCACAAACCGAGTAATCATGTCGAGCGCCACTCGAGGCTGGTCATAGGGCAAAATGTGACCGGCATTGCGAATGATGGCGTAGTAGAAATTGTCCACCTTTCGAACATAGCCGGCCACTGCAGTGTCATTTGGCTCCACCTTGTAGATGCTCCTCGGCGCAGTGTGGTACTTCTGGGCGCCCTTCCACTGCATCTTTGTCAGGTAGTTCTCCGTCAGCGGCGCTGCGACGATAATGTCCAGCTGGCCACTGTAGAAGAGCGTTCGGTAGTTGGCGTCCAGCAGCGCCTCCACCCAGTGCCTCACGCTGACCATCAGGTCGGGCATCAAGTGGGCGGCACTCTGGCTTCCATCGAGGTAGGGCCGCTTGCCGACGTTGATCGCCTTTCTCGTCTGCTTCAGCGCCAGGTAGTTGAGGTAGTAGCTCATGTCGGCGGGGCTGCCATTCATGAGGAAGTTGTAGTAGTTGGTCAGTCCGGACACCTGTTGAAAGTAGGAGGTGCCATTGGCGTTGCCGTTCAGCAGGTCGTCCATGATGTCGGCCGCTCGCGCGTAGTTCTTCTGGTCGACCAGATCGGCAAACTTCTTCTCCTCCACGGCAAAGTACGCCTTCTGCTCCTCGTCGAGGAGGCCAATTTGGTAGAGAAAATCGCCGTACTTTACTGCCTGGTTCCGCGGGTCAGTCCAGCCGTCGCCTACGACAAGGCCCTGTAGGTTGATGCCCGCGCGCTTGGCGTGTTCGCCCTCGGTGTGAATTTTGTAGCCCACTGCTGGGACGTACTTGCCTAAAGAGATAGAAAAACCGTTTATAACCGAAGCTAACAATAACAATATACTCTACCTGCATAAGACTCCCCAGTCAAATAAAACGGACTGCCTCGGTAGTCTTCGTAGAGTGTGAAAAACTGCTTCAGTGCTTCATACAAATCATGGGCTACCTCCTCTTCAGTGTCAGGGTACGCTAGAAAAAAATGGAAAAAAAGTTAAAAAGGTTTTAATCAATGGCCAGTTACCTTCATCAAAATCTGTAAAACTGAAACCAGTGCCAACCGGTTGGTCAATGTAGAGAACGGCAAATTCACGATTCCAAGTGTGATTGCGAATCACTACATCCAGATCTTTATTGATGACTTGCAGCGGACCATTTTCCACAAAAAGGCCGTACATACTTGATGCCCCCGGACCGCCTTGCAACCACAACAAAACGGGAACATCTTTGCCGACTTTTCCGTTCTATTTTTTTGTTAGAAAACGATAATCATTCAAACCACTTTTCTAAGCAGCACTTACCAAAGCGGGAAAAAACCAAAAGAAGATGTTGCTGTTGTACTTCTTATTAACGGTAAGAAAGCCGGAAAAGCTCTTAATCGTCACGTTCTTGGGCAGGTTCTTGACTTCACTCAGTTCGCGTCCCTCTTTCAACTTGCCAGCATCTATGTACGGCGTCAAATAGAGGGCATCATCGCTGGAGAGCTCTTCACCGCCGACCAGGTCATTGGCAGCATCAACCGGCCCGTAGAGATCGTGGCGGAAGAACCCGGCAGAACTCACTGGCAGAAAAGCGGCAACCGCCAACACAAAAGCACTTAAAACCAGCAATCGGCACATTTTTCTACCTCTTTCCAATACTTGTGCCAATGCTCAGAGCACATTTATAGCAACCACTTCTTTGCAAATTGGTACAACAACGACATTGAGCAAACACACCTGCTCTTAAAAGAAAAGATAAGATAGAAAGGTAAGATACAAATGTGACATGATGTGCCAATCATTGCTTCACTATGCATCACTTTATGATGTCACTCTAATTTCAAGTGTTTAAAAGGAAAAAATAAGTTAATAAGTGTCCAAAAACAAACATTTTGCGGAGTAAAAAGCCCTAAAGAAATGTGAATGTATTTGTTTTTGGATCGGTGTATCGAAGATACGAAGACGTTTCTGAGCTGACCAAGCGAAGATTGTTTTGAGATTCTATTTATAGAAATACAACGCACGGTTAAAAAACTTTAGCCTAAATTGACTCATCACTTACTGAGATTAACTTTAAATGAAGCCAAGAACCCTCCGTTGTAGCTGTTCTTACTAACCACATACTGCACAAAGAGAGCACTAGACTCACTGCGAATCGGCGCCGGTTTGTCCTAAAAGGTGTTTTGCAAAAAACGTATTTTAAAACTCAAACTCAGAACAAATGCACCCTCTCACCATTGAACAAAAGGTTGCCCGCTTCTTTGCATCAATCGCCTCCTCGGCATCGTAGACGACGACCCTGTTTTGATCGCAGCCATCTGACAGCTGAAAGAAGCTAAAGGTCAGCGTCAGTGTGTGGTAGCCGTTGCTGTGAATCAACCAGCTGCACACTCGATCCGATGGCTCCAGCCGAGTTTGCGGGTAGAGAGGGCTGGAAAAGACGCCACTGTGACCGGTCAAGTTGCTTGGATTGCCACATCCCGGTGGGCTGCCTGCAGGCGACGAGTAGTAGTTGAAAGCAAAGAGAAACTGGCTGTTCTTCAGATGAGCCTGGTAGTCCATGGTAGTGGGCAGGCTGGACGTTCGGATGACCACTGAGAGGTGATTTGAGGTGCTAAACAACGGAAATGATGGCTTTTTGATGTTGCAAAAGGTGGCTTTCGCTGTGGTGGAGTTGTTCTCGTAGACGGTCAGGTTGAGGTACTGACACTGCCCAAAACTGAGCGCCGTAAAGTGAAGCGCAATCTGCTGCTGCTCGGGCACTGAAATGTTGTAGACGCAGGTCCAATTTTGATTAGCGAAGTTATGCCTGGGGTAGTTTCGATTAAAGGCGTATCCATTGTCCGCCCCACTCAGCGTTTCTCCGCACCACATTGTGTAGTAAGTCATTCGGAAGCCGCGGTACTGCGCTCTCCCAGCTGACTGATTCCTCAAAGCTGGAGCAATGTCAAAGTTAAAGTTGGGGCTGTGCACCTCAGTGTACGTCCTCAAGAGGAGGTTCATTTCAAAAACTGAAACTACCTTCACCTGACTGGGCGACGTGCACAGTGTGAGTGGCTGAAAAAGGGCACGTGAATTCTGGTCACCACCACTGCCGGTGACTACCTCCTGCAGCTGAAGGTAGTCGCCGCGACTGCAGTTCAGGTCGAGGTCGGTAAAGAGGAGCACTATCGGCTCAGTAGGGTAGAAGTTTTCCCGTTCAATTTGCCAGAGACACTGCTGCGGCGCCGNGTGAGTGGCTGAAAAAGGGCACGTGAATTCTGGTCACCACCACTGCCGGTCACTACCTCCTGCAGCTGAAGGTAGTCGCCGCGACTGCAGTTCAGGTCGAGGTCGGTAAAGAGGAGCACTATCGGTTCGATAGGGTAGAAGTTTTCCCGTTCAATTTGCCAGAGACACTGCTGCGGCGCCTTCACCGACTGGGGATAGTCGGTCGAGGTGATCTCCTGCTTCTCCGCCCGTGGGTACAGCCGCCCACCACAGGTCCTGTTGGCCGTGGTGTAGCGCACCCTGAAGCCGTGTTGCTGACCTGTGCTGCTGTTGTCGGCGCTGGTGACAAAGTGCAGCAGCAGTGAAGCTCCCGAGGACTGCAGCATATCGGGCAGTCTAGCTCGGCCACACAGTTTGGCCAGCAGCGGCGAGTTTGTCTTTGAGCCGTCTAAAACGGCGAGAAAGTTTCCACCACTGCAGGAGTCCACTTTGCCACTGCTGTCCTCGTCATTTAAGTCAAAACGCTCAAACTCGAGCTGCACAACGGAACTGCTTGAGGGTGAATCAGAGGTGATGGACCAGAGGCAGTTCAGTCCTGGATCAGCGTAAGAGTCGCCGTCAACATCCGGCGAACTGACCACCTGCCCAGTGCTGGTCGCCCTCAGCGAGCCACCGCAGCCTGCCTTTGGCCCCGGCGTCGAGTAGTACTCCAGCTTGAAGTTGATGTAACTTGACTCATAACCTTCATACTTCTGGTAGACAATGGAAAGTACATTGCCCGTCGACTTGAAGATCAACTCACTTGTCTGGTGGTCACCGCCGGTGTTGTTGGTGCAGATCGCCGCCAGCAAGTTTCGGCTCGGGTTGAAGCGGACGCTGCTGTCTCCGGAGTAGATCTTCAGTGACGCCACACAAAACGTCTGCGAGAAAACGTCCAGCTGGAGAATGCGCACGGCCACCGAGTTTTGTTCTTCCGGAACGGTGATCAGCCACTTGCAGTAGAAAATGCCGGAGTTGCCGGAGCTTTCACTCAACTCCGGAGAGGAAATGATTCCGTGTGACGAGTTGGTAATGTTGCCGCCGCACTGCGTCACCGCGTACTGAAATCGAAAGCCGCGTAGGGAGATTGTCGTGTCAGTGTCAAAAATGACTGAAATCTTCTCCCTTGAGACGAGCACCGGCGGCAGAGTGGTGCCGCAGTACGGGCCGTAGGTAGGCGCACTTTTGTTGTTGGCGTCGCCCAGGATGATGCGCACGACGTCGAACCGGCACTCGCCATTTGATGGCCTCTCCAGGGCAAAGTCCTCAAAACGGATGCGAATGTACTCGTGCGGGGAGCGTTGAATCGTAAAGACACATCGCACACTGTCCCCATAGAAACCTTCACTGTAATGCGGAGAGGTGATGGTTCCGCTCTCCTCTTGGAAGAGACCTAAAAAAATGAAGATAGTTTTAATCTTAAATAACCTCACTTTTTCCTTATCTTACCTCCACAAACTTGCTAATATAGTGAAAAACTACTATTAGAACAGATTTTCACAAAATTACTATTTACTCACCTTATAGTTCACTTTGAAACCATCACCAGCCACTCTATCATTAGTGCGAAAGGTGACTCGAACTAAATTGGTTGTAGAGTTGATTTTCGCCGGAGTCTCATGACCGCACAGTCGCTTCAGCACCCTCCAGCGCTCCACTTCACGGTCATCAACAAAATCGATGAACCGCTCTTCAAACAGGAGAAAATCATTAGTGCAGTTTGCCGACGCTTCAAGGTCGAATCGAGTTTTAAAAGTGAACTCAAGGTGAAAGTCAGGCACTGCGGTGATGTGCCACTCGCATTGAATGGAATTGGGATATGATTTGTATCGAGCATCAGCAGTAGTATCCTCTGGAGAGGTGTAGTTGGGTGAGTGAAAGCTCCCAATTGGATCAAGTAGCGTTCCACCACAACCATGAGTAGCCTGTTCAAGTCTAAACTTAAATTTTCGAGAACCTGAAATCTCACGCGTAGAAGGCGTTTGAGTAAGTGACAAATTGCGACTACTGACAAAAGTTAAGAAAATGTCCCCTTTAACGAAAATGGGCTTTGGCAACCCATCTCGGCGGCAAATTTTTTCTCTTAGCGGGGGTCGAAAGTTGGGTTTGGTAATCTGAAAGTAAAGTCCGTTTATATTTTCAATGATTATTTACTAAAATGTTTTTACCAAAAAGTAGTCCTCCTCGCAGTTTTTGCCAATGTCAAATTCGATGAAAGTTAGCCGGTAGCCAATGTCCACTCCCCGTCTTTCGATGAGCTCAAAGTAGTAGTTACAAAAGATATCCGTTCGGTAGTCGTTCGGGTAGTTTGGTGACGTAAAGTCTTTTTCGAATGCGTTAACAAAGTGCCCACCGCAGTTTTGAATGAACAACTCGCCAGAAAAGCCTTTAGACTTGCCAGTTTCAGTTCGATTGAAAGATAGAAGCACTGATGGGTTGACGGGATTGCTCACTTTCCAAAACACCGGCAGTATGTACTTAACTCCTTTTGTCTGCGGTGCAGTCTCCTTTGTGATGCACGGGTAAGTTGTCATTCTGAAGGCGTCTCTTTCCTTTGAAACACCGGCAATAGCCAGTGCTTTCTTGAGGCAAGCTCCTTCAATGTCAAAAGTGTCGATCAAAATGGTTGCCGATTGGTTGACTTGAAGCTCAATTTCCCAGGCACAAACAATGGCCCCGGTGTAGTTGAGATTGCCAAAGTGAGATGAGATGAGTGAACTGCGAGGAGAGTCTAGATAGGCACTGCATGTTTCTGCAAAAAGTAAAAATAAGTAATGACAATAACTTTTAAAACAGTTCCAATTCATACCATTTGAAGTGACTGTAGTGTAATAAATTTGAAATCCTTCACGTGGCGCTAGGTCTGTGGCGCTTAAAATCAGTCTCGCTAGATGAAGGGGAGTAGTAATATCGGCCGGAGTGTCAGTGGTGCACCCAAGTGGAACTTCATTGTACACATCATATGTACTATATGATCGCAAAGAGTTGTAGGAAACGTAGAGCTGTTTGCGGCAACTCAAACCACTGACATTGGCGACCATATGTCCCATGTTGAAGCGAACAAAGTGCAACTTAAATTGACTGCCAATGCTACCTAGTAGTAGCCACTCGTAGTTATGGTAAAACTCAGTATTGTCAGCGGGGACGTAGTAGCTGATCACTCCCCGGGGATTTACATTTCCGTCAATTACTTTAAAGTTGGCTAAAAAGAAAAATTAAACTGCATTTTAAAGTACTGTCATTACAATTTCAATGGTCTTACTTTCATAAGTTGCTATCACATCAAACTTGATGCCCACATCCAATTTTCCACTTCTTATTGCTCTTGATTCTTCGTAGTAGTTGTTGCGCGTGTAGGAGATGAACAGCTCATTTCTCATTGAGACTAC